CATTTCCACAATAGTCATGGCATCTCGATTAGGATAGGATGGTCGATTTAATTAAGTTCGGTAGAAGATACACTGACCAAAAACATTTATTGCCATTAAAAATCCAATATTTATCCATCTTACTTCACTAACGATGGCTTATACAGAAAGAAAATAATTTATTTACCTGAGGCAACTGAGATGAATATAATGCAGTGATAAATATGGCTACTTAAATGTTTGCTACTACTTATCAACGTTTAAAAGTAGCCACTAATTACAAGCCAAATTATTCTATAAATCCAAACAAAAAAATCCTGCTTCATTTGGTTAATCCTAGAAGCACAACTAGATATGTCCATATGTTGAAATATCAAATATAGCCAACCACTTCATACACTACAGCGTATAGAAAGCCTAACATCTCAGACAACTATTTAGCTAAATCATCTTCTTTGTTCGTCCTAGGCGAGATTGTTTCCAGCATCTAGAGACCAAGACAGGTTGCAAAGCTATCTGAGATGGTAACATTTAAAATGGAGTCGTCATGCCTGTGAAGTGTGCTTAAAAGTAGGATTTTGAGCCTTCCGTAATGCTACTGTGAGAACTGACAATTCAGCATAATACTCTGCACCACCAGATAGCATCACACCAGTTTGTATCTAACCTGAGTGTGAAATATGGTATCATAACTTGCAGAAAAACTTTCCAAGTTTTCACACATAAAATGTAATTCCAATATGGCAGATCTGCAGCCTTGCATAATTAAAGGTTTGAAATTGACTACTACACAAGTTGGTCTCCAGTACAGAATAGATAAATGGTAGAGTTTATAGTACCAGATTGGTGTGAAGACCGAAACTTTAGGTGACAATGTTTCCAAGTGTCTGATCCGATACGCAAACATGGCTGGTTTCTGAAGCAAAAAAGACAATCACTGCTGCACGTCAACAATGACTTATACTGGATAAATTCGTTGTAATAAAAAGGAGGTGCTCGTGGATTTTATTATAATGGTATGTTAAATCGAGAGAAGTTGGGTATAAGGGATTGATAAATTAGTCTGACAGGAAACCGTTTGCGATTGTTAATTTATGCCAAAAAAGTGTTCTCATCCAGAGTGGACTGTAGTTTCGGCCTCGTCTAGGTCTCATCAACACTCCCAGCGGGAGGCAAACCATAACAGTGCCGCATTGCTACGAATGCCGTTGGGTCACAGGGCAGGTCTGAATTTGAATGAAGGCCAGGCATTTTCTTATATTACATTATGTGGGGAAGTGTCGATTAAGCAAATTGATATTTGCTATAAAAATTGCCTACACTACTTATTTTTCGTTTATAAGTAGGGTTTTGAGACCACCAGTAAAGTAGATATATGAGTCCAGTTATGGATAGTGATAAGGTCTGGACGAGGTTGAAACTTCAGTCTACTCCAGCTGGGATGGGAACACCTTATGGGAAAGCAGGACTTCTTCCAACTCCGTTTTTAAGAAGACTTATCAACAGTCCGATTTCTAATGATAATACTTATAAAAAGAATAATCTCATTTTTTTTTAGCAAAGTGGAAACTGGCCAGTAGAATAACTCGAAATAATATTTTATTGGAGAGGTGATAATGAGGATAAAAGACATTTTTTTGTATCAAACATCACTTTTAGAAATACCGTAATGTTCATGGCACTTGCTGATGTCATCATATTTTCATCACTTCCCTAAGGAATTTGATTGCAAAGAAGGATCTCTTTTTTCCAAATAGAAGCTTAAATCCTCCAGAGCTAATAATACCAAGGTAAAAGAAGAATGTGACACTTGAACATCCTTTAAAGGATGGTTCTAGATGTGATTATGCTTAATTTTCCGTAATATTACCTCTGGAGGAAGAAATGCCAGCAGAATGGCTTGTGGGGCCTGCATAACGTCAAATCGGGTTTCAATAGGCAAGTACATACGCAATGTCCAATCCAGTCTAGAGATTTCAAATACCATGTCATGGGCATTAGTGAAGTGAGCTCTTTATGGCTCTATAAGTGGTTGCACGTCGCCATGATCTGAGTGGGTCATGTGAAAGATGAAGGCTGAATATAATCGCTACAGGACTTTACTTTTTGCCTGTATTGTCTTATTGAGGACAACAATATGGGCCTTATTGAGGGTGCTGACCACGCCAAAGCAATGCCGGAACTACACAGCCTCATGGAAAGTCGCGGAACCTGATGAAATTAAGCTCGGAGCTAGGACAGCTATTTGATGACGATTGGTTAAAAACTAGATTGCATGGTTAACTGATCACGCAGGTCGTCTCGACCTGTAATAAAAAGATAGTTGTTTGACCCAACAAAGCGAAAATCCTGACAGAGACGAGGACTATGTGAGGAGAAGACTCGTAAAAAGAGCAATTATTGGACAATATCCTAAGACTAATGTATACTTCATATTATCCCCGGAAGTGGATCACAGCTCCAACCATTCTGACCAATGGGAATAGGACGAGCAAAGCAACCAAAGGATTTTGGGATTGACCGAAAAATTAACATTCATTTAAATCAATTCTACCCTTGTCATTCTACTGTGATTTCCAAAGTTAAATAAACATATCTGAGATACAGAATAACGGCCAACTAGCTGAGGATCATAGCAAATTACTGAGTTGATTATTCTCAGGTAAACCTTCTGTCTATATTTAAATGTAACGAGACGTTAGATAGAATCTAAAATCGGACTCATCCGGAACGGAGACAATTACGAGAAAAAAGCCTCCACTCCCCAACGCTGAACATCGGAACGGCCCCTAGCCTCTGATTGTCGTGTCGAGCTAAAGACATGCCTACCTCGTATGATTCCACTGCATAAATCACCAAAACCTGCACGAATGTGCTCAAAAGGTTTTGCCTGGAACTACAATAATTCTTCTTGCTTTGCTTGAGGCACTACTTTAGAGCTATTCGTGATCACAGCCTAACCCCTGTCGACCCTCGACAAACCCAGAGGAATGCGCCCTCTTAGAAGTCTTGTGACACGTTTGGCGTGCCCATGTTGAGTTCACACGGACACGAGAAAATAATAGTCCGTAAAGACAGTAAGGAGATCGAAGCTCAGCAAGGTTAGTTAAGAATTTCTTGCAATTGTACTTTCTCAGTGTATTCTAGTAGAGAGTGAGGCTAATCTTTCAACCAGTATGCGGAAGAGTTGATTGGATAGTGCAGGGCCAGACCAATAGGCGAACAAAATCATGCATACAAGTGCACATAGATAAATGTGGACACAAAGATATGGCACGCACACACAAACACACTTAAATGACCATGCAAGGGAGATAAGCACAGGTTCAATAAACTAGAGACTACAGCCGACTTGGTGTGATGATTAAAACAAATTATAAGGCCAGTCAGATCAAGATAATAGGAGGGAAGACGGGCTAAAATAGCCTATTCTAACGTTTTTATACACTGAGGCTAAAACAGATTAATGAAGAGAATTATAAAAATTATAAAACTCCAGCGCACAAGTTTGACCAGAGAGCACATCACATCGCCTTATTTAGACAATTCTAAGCCGATCCTACCTTTAATTCTCATTCGACTATACATTCAGGTGGTCAAGAAGACACAAGGCGGAGAAAGCGAAAGGCCAAAATGTGACCATCGACGAAAGTAAAAGTGAAAATACCCCGAGACAAACAAAAAAAGTGCAGTCATCCAAAATGAAGTAAGTCAAAACAGAGATTATGCAATATCCAGCAGAGACCAATGGTTTGTGCAACACTTTTAAATTCCCCTGAGGTAAAATTATCAAAAAACAACTATTTGCTAGAAACAAAGAGGTAGCACAAAAACAAATGGCGTCGATGGGATTTGGCTTTACTCCAACAAAATACCCGCAAGACCTTGAAGCAAGTGGCAATGTGTGATGGAAGAACACGCAAATAATAGGGTACATGAATAGAAGCCATACAGTAAAACCAAAGGGATGTGAGCCTTAACGATATAATGAGAGCCTCAATCAAAATGAGGCTTAGAAAAGGCCACGACCAAAAGGTTTTTCGAAAAAAAGAAGTACCAATCGCAGGAAATTTACTGCAAAAGAATCCGTCTGGATAGTTGAGGAGGCAAAAAACAAGTTGCTAGATGTGCATTGACCAGTATATAAGAGCGGAATAGAACAGGATAAAATTCAAAGTGAAAAAAGGAAGACTTGTAATAGCAAAGGATTGTTCACAGCATAAGTGAATACTAATGTACATCTTGTACATACATACATAAATATATAAATAAATAAATATATATATATGATGCAAAATACTATAAGGCTATATAAGGAAGCCCCAATCGTAGTTGAAACTGAGAATAATTCATGTACAGCCGCAGAAATATTTCGGAGGAACTGAGCAAGGTCAATATCAAGAGAATAAGTCGTTCCAAAAGAGACAATGTACACAAACAAGAAGATTTATAAAAGGTAAGAATGCAGGACTCTATTGACAAAATGACGGCTGTATGAGTAGAGCAAGGCAGCGACTCGGTGCCAAATATGAATAAATCTAGTATGTGAGGGCGGGTAAAAAGGACCCCAGGAAAGTTGGAAAAATAGTAAGAACAAGCCAGTGTACGAATGAAGCGAAGCTTGAAAGGCTCCAACAGGACACTGATGAGATACAGGGCGCTTTTGGGGCGGACAATAAAATAAAGACTGAAGGAAATATTTAATTCAAATTCAAGATTCTAAGTGAAAGGAAATAAATTTCTATAAAAAATATTAGCACATATCAATAGGCAATATGGGAATGTGTATAATTCTATGAGGAAAATTCTATAGACAAAGTTAGGGTGAAAGGACAGATCAAGTGGAGAATTAATATGAGTGGAACAAACGAACTGAGCCAAATCAGTAAGGCAGATATACAGAAAACAAGGCATAAAGGAACAAGATAAAAAAGATAAATAAGTATATTGATATTTATTAATGGACGAATTATTAAAGCGAGGCGGAAGAATCTATATCTGGGAGAGCACGAAGAAAGCGTTTACGTAAAATCGGCCACAGTTTGCGGGCCAGCATTATAGTTTTGCGCTCTAGTACGACTATGCTGGCGACGCAATGAAGATATAGCAACTGGTCCAGCCCCACCATCTCCACTGCCGGCTCCGCCCGCCGTGGCAGCACCGCCGGCCCCAGCAGCTCGGTTTCGCATCCTTCGTGCAGGCATTCTATCACTAGGAGTCGAGAAGCCACCACCAAATGCTGCCCCAGTTTTCAGTGCTTCCATTAATGTGTCAATCACATTTCCTTCGTCCTCCCCTGGCAAAGGTGTTCGAACCCTCTGACTGGCCTCTTTATCTCGACGCTCACGCTCCCGACGAAGACGCTCTTCGGTTGCGCGCCGTGCTTTCTCCAATGCCAGTCGGCGCCTTTGATTCTCCTCGTTGCCACGGACGAAGGCTGATCTGAACAGGTTTAAGTCGGAGAATAGGTTCTCCATGTGATACTTCTGAGAGTCGAAGGCCAGGTAGCGTGAAACATGATCGAAGCGTTCAACCATCCGCTCGTACATTGTGTTCAACAGAGCCAACTTCTCTTTGGCCGAGAGAACAAAATCGCGCATGATATTGGCAAATTCATCATCACTACCTTGACTTTTGTAGGTGCGCAAATCGGTCTCAATGTTAGAGATTGACTTTTTCGTTTCAGCGAGCCCAGAAACTAGCATATCGCTGGAAACTCGGCTGGCGCGTTCGATGTAGGAGAGTTCACTGGGAAAATCAGACAAGGTGGAGGGAAACTTCTTCTCGAGACACTCTAGCAGGAAGTGGAGAAGCGTGCGTTCGTTTGTAGAATCCTTGGTTCCCTCCAGTTTAGTGAGAAAGTTCATATCAAATCCGACAGTTTGGGCATTCTTGGAACCAGCGTTCATGTAGTTCCCCATCAACAGTAACAGCTCGAGTATTCGGCGTAAATGTCGGCTGCTCTGGATCTCCTGTAAAGCCTCACTAGCAGCTACAACATCAGGTTTTAGTTCATTCATTTTCTCTTCGAAACGCATTTTAAAGAGGATAGCCTCAAGACGTTGCGATAGCTTCTTAATGTTCCCAACTTTGCAGAGAAACTGCTCAGGCTCAGCTAAGTTTTCGATGTCCTCGCGCATCTCGTAGACCTGGGAAATCACACTCGGTTCTGGCAAGGCACGAATCATTTGCTCCAGCATACTGACGGTGAGCAACGACTCGTCGATAGTAATGATCCGACGCCGCAACTCGTCGTAGGGCACTTTCAGGGAGCCAAGCAAGATAGAGAGGTTCTGGGCCGTTTTACCATCGAGCACGCGCAATTGTTTAACGCGACGTCCACCGACTCCATCTCCAGGAGCAGCGTCGGTGCCATCACCGGCTGCCAGTGAAGCGTCGTCGAGGCGACGAGCTGGCCGAGTGCTAAAGTTCGTGGCCAATTCAGCTAAGAGGTCAGCATGTTCCATCTGGTCTTCTTTAAGACCGACCCAGACTGAATCCTTGGTGAGCATTCGCACAGGAACCTTTTCCCAGTTGGCTTTCTTCATAGGCTGTTCAGGGCGAAACTGTCTGCGCGGAGCCATGCCGAAAGGAAGTTGTTGCGATTGTAATGACATGTCTTTGGGCAAATTGTGAGCTCCAGGAGGGGGCGGTGGAGGAGGAACCCCGGGAGGCGGAGGTGGCGGTGGAGGCGGTGGCGGTGGCGGAGGCGGAGGAGGAGGCGGTGGAGGCGGCGGAGGTGGCGGTGGAGGCGGGGGGGCAGGATGTGAGGGGTCGATGGGTGGCTTTATCATGGGTTCTAGACCTTTAGGGATCTCAACCTTGCCATGGCTACTGGGCAACTGTCCACCCGACTCCTGGATGATCTTCATTTTGTTCTCCATAGTTTCCAGTTTAGCTTCAGCCTCCTGCTTCTGTTGTAGAGCCATGTCTAGCTTTCGCTGAAGCTCTTCCAAATTTGTGGTCCCGGTGTGCTGTCGGATTGTCTCGGTTAGCTGGTTCACAGTGGCCTCAATATCCAGCTTGAGAATGCTGGTTCTTGGGTCGAAATCTGTGCCGTCATTTTGGATGACAACTTGGGCAACCAGCTCTTCGAGAAGGACGAAGTAAGCCTGTCGATAGGGCTCATCACGTATAAAGAGCAAATGCTGCAGAATGGATAAGAAATAGCGCTCTGAGGTTGTGCTAGCCAAAGTCTTGTGAAGAAGATGGAACACTTGACTGGGGTCCTCAAGATCGTGCTTAGCGGCATCCAGACGCTCGTAGAGATCGTCCAAATCTTGTTCCATACGTGAACGATATAGTTCAACATGGTTTACAATATCAGCATCTGACGAGCCGGCCAGCTCTTGTAGATTAGACCCGATACCCAATTTATTCAACTCATAGCGCAGGTGGATGCGGTAGTCGATTACATCACTCCGATTCACCAAGGCATTGATAAACTGCAGGGAGGCACGAGCCAATTCAGGAACAGAAAGACCACGAACAAGAGGTGCGAATCGCTCCCCGGGACAGTTGGACAGCTCCGCACTGAACGTCAGCCCCTCCACTACCTTTCTATGACCATCCGATTTGTAGATGGCGATCGTGGAAAGCAGCTCAACAGCGCATTCCATCATAGCCGGCTGTTCCAGGTTGAGGCAGCGTGCTATGAACGTGGACGCGGTGTCGTGGTCGATGAGGCCATTCATGCCAACGCCCGAGTTGCCCAGCGCCCGGATGCACCGGATGCAGTGCAGCGCTGCGCCATGAATGTAGCCGGAAAGCGAAAGAGCCAAAAGCCGGAGAAGGGTGTTGAGACCGTCGGCAGCCAGAAATTCTTTCACCCAGCGAACTCCATTGCTTGAAAGTCCAACGCGCAAAGAGTCAAGCGTCTTTAGCAACTGTTTCTCGCTGAGCTGACTAGGCGTGTTCAAGGTCTTACAGTAGCCCTCTGGATTGTCGCGATTTGACGAGAAACTCGCCTCGTAGGCTTGAAGCATCGAGATCTTGGTGGACCGATCCCGAGCCCGCAGCGGCTGACGCTGTTCGTCGCTGAGGTTCATGTCCTCAAGCATCAATTCAAACTGCCTAGCCAACTCCTCGTCCGTCAACTTCAATGAGCTTTCGACTTGGTCCGCTGACGAAGGCAAAAGACTGAGTACCTCAGGCTTTGAGACAAGGCCGCTGGCAACAATTTCACGCCGTTTTCGCTTCTCGTCCTTCAACTCCTTGTTGCTGAAGATGTGCTTCATCGTGTTGGCAATACAAGAGAGGTTTTGCGCGATTTCGCACCTGTGCTCGCCCGTCTACGAGTCTGTATATGTATGCAAGTGCGTTAATAGACTCACGTCTGTTTAGATACACCTGGTTAGTGGAGAATGTCTGTTAGCCGTGCTTGTCCGGGGCAGTCAATCTACAAGACAAAAAATTGAAGAATGACTGGCGCGGGACTTGACAGGATGGTGCCAGCACATTATGAGTGGAGAGATATGAACCAAGTGTTTTCGGAAAATGTCGAAACGTTCATGAGCATAATGAGTTAGTGACACATCAGCCAAAGAAGTCAAACGGCAACCGGAAATAAATCTCAAATTAATGAAAGGCCCAAAAGTATTTGCCAAAGCCCAAACATCACCAAATCGCAAGCCGAGCCTCAACTTCAAACAGATTCTTTAATTTGGACTGGACAGATACACTTAATCAAGAAGTTTTGGCTAAGCAGACTACAACGAGTTTACATAGTAATGTGGCAGGCAAAGATAATGAATCTACCCACAATTAATAACAAAAGGATTCGTTCTGATGCTAGAATTGATTTGTTACAAAAGACAAAAGGACTTCCCTATCTGTGATAAGAGTTGTATTCACCCTAGGGTAAATACAGATCTTATTCAAGACCTAATGATAGTTTCGAAACCCAAATAATATGAATATAACTAATGTAGTCGATTTTAATAGCAAATACGATAATCCTACTACGAAAATGTGATATGGAAAAAGCCTGGCCTTCCTTAGAAGTCATGTCTATCCTGTGACGCAGGGGCACTCGCGGTAGTGTGACGGAGTGATAACTTGTCGAGACTATGCGCTGTATAGGACAGATTCAACCCCCGCTGAGGATGTTGATGCGACTTAGGTGAGATAGAAACTGCAGTTCACTCTGGACAAGAATAGCTTCTAGCAAGCAAGGCTATGTAAGATTCATTGGGAAGATGAGGCATACTGATATCATTGTGGAAAAATGCAACCACCAATCCTTCATCATCCTAAACCAAATATGGTGTATGCTGCTCTTATTCGATATATACTGGTAGTTTCAGTACCCACTGGCCGCAGTTTCCACCTCAACTAACACCTCCAAAGGAAACGGAAACTTCAGCGCGCGAATTCAGACCAGCAGTCATAGCAGCAGTGGATAAGATGGCGGGCATGAATTCCAAAGCATCGCAGGCTTCCAGTGGCTGAAATCTATGATAAAGGTACATAAGGATTGAAACTGTGTTTGAACTCAAACTCGACGTTATACAATAGTATAATAATTGTCGAAATTATAAAAGGATCTGGGTTAAAAATGAAGACGCAGCAAAGGCGAATTGGTTTATTATTAATTGACTACCGGCCGATTGAAAATAGCGCACCTTCACCTTCACACCTCACGAGTAAACCATCTTCCAGCAACTCGCCTCCTGACGAAATATGAATTAAAAATTTATGTAATTTAGTGAGGATATCCTACAGTGATGCAATTTGAGAGACCTGTTTTATCTATTAGCTCGACATTTCCACATTTGTCTGTTCTAGAGATCAGGGCATTTGCCCCTGATTTCCCTGGCTGATACTTTGATGAGATCCAAGCAAACGCTCTCCTGGAAGACGTAGAAAGGAATACTCTAGGATAAAAGACTTCTTCTTGACTCATCATGGGTAGTTTAATTACCAAGCATTCATTAAATATACCCAAGGAGAAAGATAGTGTGGGCAAAAGTTAAGGCAGTAAATGTCACTTTGATTTAAATATATTAGCTCATAAGATACATGCTTGATCGAAAATATAACAACTGTGTTGCTTGTATGCCAGAAATACCTAGGGAGCCGAAAAACCCAAGGGTACAGGCAATGTGCACTATTTCTACAAGAGAAAAATAGATTCGGTTGAATCAAATGCAGATGTAAGCAAATAGTGATGCAATGAAAACGGAATGAGGATAATCGAAATTGAAGATGAATCTTGTGTGAATATCTAATTAGAGCCAACTAGACAGAGACCAACACACATCATAGAAACTAACGAGAATAGCGGAAGAGTTAAAATAAGAATTGGGTGATATTGCCTATGAGATGGATAGAATCGATGACAAAAAATAGAAATTGTGTGATCTAATAAAAACACTAAAGAAGTATGATCTGATCTATATCACATTGGGATTGTCGATCAAACATAGTTAGATTTGCCATAGCAATCGGCTATGTTACTTATTTTTACGTTTCATAAGTAGGTAGTAAGACTAACAATTAAATCTGAAACAAGAGCTGCATTAAAGATATGAAAACCAAGATGTTGTGGCCTCTGGTAGTAGAAAAATTGGACTGTTCAGGAGTTTACTGTATATCATACGGCGACTGCTTACAGAAATATTTGGCGAAACAGGGAGAAAAATTAGCACACGAATCATGGAACATCAGAGGCTCTGCAGAAAAATGGATACTGAAAGATCAGAACTAGCGGAAGACATCGCACGGATTGGACACAAGATCAATTGGAAAGCAACAGAAAGGAAAGCTCCATACGGTGACAACACAAGGAAGCGGAAGATTATGGAGACCATTGATATCCTTGGGGATACAAATCTAATGAACAGGAGATTGGAGGAAGATATAGTTAGCGATAACTTTGCCTACTGCCTAAGCAAAATCGGAGAAAACAATAGAGCAAGACCAACAAAAAAGATAAGCTTGGAGCAGGGATCTGCCGCTAACCAGAGGAAAAGGGATTGCGATAAGGAAAGGGGGGAGCAGAAGTTTTCGACAATTAAACGAAGACGTTGTCAGTAAGTGATGGCCATTTGAATAAACCA